AAAAATAAAGACTAAATAGACAATCTGCAGCCTGGGGTCGAGGGAATCTTTGGTAGCAGATTATCTGATAATGGTCTAATCTCTAAAAATCTATGGAAAATGGCAAAAATTCTACAATAAAAAGACAAATACAAAGAATAAATGGGCAAAGGATATCTATAGAACCTTTAGCAAAAGGGCCTACAAGTAGGCAAAAAATCCATAAAAAGATGTTCATGATCATTAACTATTGTTATTATTGTTGTTATGTGCTGTCAAGTCACTTGCAACACATAGAAATTCTATTCATAACAGCTCTGGAAACCATATGCATAAAAACTCTGAACCCCATTCTATCCTGCACCAATTTCACTGTCTCTAACACTCTTACCCTCACTATGTCAATCCATCTCCTTCAAGGTCTTCCCCTCTTGCACTGACCCTCCATTCTTCCAAGTATGATTTCCTTCACCACGAACAGGTCCCTCCCTGGCAACATGTTTCAACAAAGATGCTTCCCTAGATGTGATCACCAAGTTGTGCCAAGAAATTTTTAGGAAAACCACCTGGCCAACTAAGTGGAAGAGATCCACGTTTGTTCCCATTCCAAAGAAAGGTGATCCAATAGAGTGCAGAAATTATCGAACAATATCATTAATATCACTTGCAAGCTAGATTCTGCTGAAAATTATCCAAAAATGACTGGAATAGCACATCAACAGACATATAACCTACAAATAAAAAAAAATATGTTGTGAGAGTGGATAGATAATGGATACTGCATTGGAACAGATGAGAGGAAGAACTGTCCAAAAGGAATATATGATGATGCATTTTATGTATGATAACAAATTGGAACAAGGAGATCATTGTTACGGGGTGGGGGGTGGTGGGAAAGGCAGGAGTTGGACAGAGAATATGTGCAACAATAAATAAATAAAAGCAAAAAAGTTTATTGATTCTAACTCTTAGCAATGCTATAGGATATAACTGCCTTAGAGAGTTTCCCAAACTATAACTACAGAAGTGAGTTGTCACAGCTTCTCTCATGGAGCAGCTTGTGGTTTCAACTACTAACATTTGGATAAGTAATTGATCACTTAATTGCTACACCACCAGGAGTCCAGGCTAAAGACCAAAAATTACTGATATACTTGTGGTTGTGCACCATAGAGTTGGAACTGACAAATAGCTGACCCTCCAGGGGGTTTTCAGAGGCAGTTAATTGCATGGGAGGAGATTGCCCATCCTTCTCCCATGGAGCACCTATCACCGTTTCTCACATATCACCACTGTAGTCAAAACAGCATGGTATTGGGTCAGTAATAGACACATAGAGCAGTAGAACAGAACTGAGAAATCAGAGTGAAACCTAGCCTTA